GGAGCCTTCGCTGGCACTCTGCCGGAGGGGGAATCGACCATGGAGGGCTTCTACATCAACATCCTTGCCCCTCCGATGAGTTGTGAGTAGTTTACCACAGACCTACGGGTCCATAGTTATTAGCTAGATGGCTTCTTCTCTCTTTTTGGATCTCAATACAATGTTCTCCCCCTCTCTTGTGGAGATCTATTTGATGTAATCTCTTTTTGCGGTGTGTTTGTCGAGATCCGATGAATTGTGGGTTTATGATCAAGTTTATCTATGAATAATATTTGAATCTTCTCTGAATTCTTTAATGTATGATTGAGTTATCTTTGCAAGTCTCTTCGAATTATCAGTTTGGTTTGGCCTACTAGATTGATCTTTCTTGCCATGGGAGAAGTGCTTAGCTTTGGGTTCGATCTTGCGGTGTCCTTACCTAGTGACAGAAAGGGTTGCAAGGCACATATCGAATTGTTGCCATCGCGGATAACAAGATGGGGTTTATATTATATTGCTTGAGTTTATCCCTCTACATCATGTCATCTTGCTTAATGCGTTACTCTGATCTTATGAACTTAATACTCTAGATGCAGGCAGGAGTCGGTCGACGTGTGGAGTAATAGTAGTAGATGCAGGCAGGAGTCGGTCTACTTGTTATGGACGTGATGCCTATATACATGTCCTGCCTAGATAATCTCATAATTATTTGCTTTTCTATCAATTGCTCGACAGTAATTTGTTCACCCACCGTAATACTTATGCTATCTTGAGAGAAGCCTCTAGTGAAACCTATGCCCCCCGGGTCTATCTCTTATCATATTTGCTTCCAATCTACTTTTATTTGCATCTTTACCTTTTGCATCTATATTATAAAATACCAAAAATATATTTATCTTATCTTACTATCTCTATCAGATCTCACTTTTGCAAGTGGCCGTGAAGGGATTGACAACCCCTTTATCGCGTTGGTTGCGAGTTCTCGGTTTGTTTGTGTAGGTGCGTGGGACTTTTGAGGAGCCTCCTACTGGATTGATACCTTGGTTCTCAAAAACTGAGGGAAATACTTACGCTACTATTGCTGCATCACCCTCTCCTCTTCGAGGAAAACCAATGCAAGCTCAAGACACAACAAGAATCAGAACGAACTGTTGCATACCTTCTTCAGGTAACGATTCTCGGTGTCGGTCCTCGAGCTCAAGAGCTCCTTCCTGTCAATTATCTATGCACAGGGGTTCAGACTCGTGGTATTAGTTACAGTTACAATTTAGATTTAAGATTGATGCCTGCATACCTGCAGGCGTCTTGGTAGAAGTGAGTGCTGAGCTTCCCGTCTGCACCCTTGACTAGGTAGAAGTAGACGGCGGTCTGCTCCGACAGGCCGTCATCGACTAGCACGAGCAGCCCGAACGGGCTGAGTAAGCCTCGCCCCGCCGCGTCGGCGCTCGCGCTGAAAAAGAGAGGATCAATGAAACTGAGAAACTTGTCCGAGTATAACTAGATAGAACAACACTGATTGTCTATCTAGGATAAATATATATAACAAAGATTTGAGCTGCATTTTAAGAACTGAGAAAACTAAGAGCTAAGAAAGCACAACCATGTAAGTTGTAGTTTGAGAGCCAAAGAAAAAACATGTGGCTGTACTGAATAAAAAGAAAGGTGCTCAAGTTCATGAAAGGTGCTCAACCATCTAAGCAAGCAAAATTTAAAAACGTGACACACATGGGTTGATAAAATCCTAACACAACAAGGGTTGTTCTTAAAAATGTTCTGTATCACATACTAGGAGCATGTGTCTTTCTTGGCGCTGGTACTTGTTAATTAAGACTTGAAAAACAAAGTGCATTTCACTGGATCAGAGTACACTCGCAAAAAGACAGTGGCATGTCAACTCACGGTGGAATAGGAAACCAAACTTTTTATTACAGTCCGCATAAGAGTGAGGTTGCAGGAAGGCTAATTCTCGGCACAACATCAAACATGAAAAGTTAAAAATATTCATCTAAATAACACGGAATGAAACATTCCCATCCTTTTCTTCATCATATTTAGACAACACGAAAGATAACTTATTCTGCTGGGGCTGAATGAAGACTCAAAACTGAATAAACAATGGCATATACATTTTGCTAATTGAAAAATACAGTCAACCGAAGCTGAACTTCAAGGCCAGTGCAATGTTTGACGCTTTAGATTAAGCTCAATTTATTAATATAAACATTTGATGTGAGTTGTGAATGTGGTCTCAGAGATCATTACGACGGGCAGTGTAGAATTGAGATCCCTAAATGAGACAAACAACTCTGAAACCCCCATCGTGGGCAAACAATCCACTCTGCAACCCAAGAATCTATCATGAGATCGCATCTTGGATGAGCAAGAATCGAACTGAAGCAAGCGGGCCAAGATCCAATCTTTCTCGAACCAGAGAGTCGAGGGGGGAGGAGGGGAAGACGACGGACCTGCGATTCTGGATGGTGTTGCAGGTGATGTCCTAGAGGTGGACGATGGCGCTTTGGCGGAGGTCGCCAGTCTTGACGAGGTGGTTGTGGTTGGTGGAGAGCATGGACCGCCGGGAGTGGACACCATCGGAGAGCAGCATGCGGTAGCGCTCCGACTGGTGGCCGACGGGGTTCTTGGTGGTGACGGTGCGCAGGTCCACCACCTGCAGCACCGGCTGGATTATCCTTGGCCCTTCAGGCAGCTCCCATATCTCCCTCACCGCCCCTGCCATCAGCTGTGGCGGCCCCTCCATCCCCTCGCCGGCGAGGACGGACCGGACTGGATTGGATTGGGTTTGGATTTGGGCGTAGGGAGGAAGGAACCCTAGGTTGATTGCAGGAGAGGAGGCGGCGCGGCGGTGCGGCGGGCGGTGTGCGGGGGAAGGAAGGAGGAGGCGGTTTGGGTGGGTCTTTGGACCGGGTGCATCGGCGGCGAGGTCGGAGGGAGGTCGGAGGGAGACGCGACAGCCAGGATCTGGCGCCGGAGGTGGCGGCGGCAAGGAAGGAGTGCAGCGCTAGGGTTAGCCCGAGACAGAGGAGGGCTTGCTGCCGTGGGTGGGTTTCACGCAAGAGATAAGGGTTGGGTGGGTTTCGCGCGAGAGAGGGGGGTTTGTACCGTCGGATGGGATGGATCGATGGACGGATGGATGGATTGATGTTTGCTAGGTCATCGAGCCAAGCCACTAGTGATTCCACCAATCAGAATTAAGCTTGGGTAGTTTTGTTTTTTCTTTTGTTTCTCTTATAATTTTAACCCTCTAGTCCAGGGTAAACATTCAACATATGAACCATTTATAGTTTGCTTAAATGAACCAATAGTGTGCACGTGTTTATCTTGGGATGACAAACAATGTCGATTTTGGGGGTTTTCACTTTCATTGCACAAAAGAGCCATTTTCCATTTTTTGAGTGCCTAAAATGAGTTTTTTTGTGAAGGATCTACCATATATTTGTTGCAAAATTGGACCAAATCAGTTTTCTAAAATACTAGGACATATTTAATGCACAATTTACAACATGGTTGGGTGTCAAAAGTTTTGATCCACCTCTGATGAAAAAGACAAATTTACGTCGATTCATTTGAAAGCGGGTCAAATTTGAACTGCAACTACCTTGTAGTTTTCTCTTTGTTTTTTCCAAAAATCATTTCTAGGTAGATAAGTTTCTATTTCATTAGAGATATTCCAAAACTTTTGCAAGATTCAACCCTTAGCTACGAGCGGTTATGCCCGCCATTTTTACCGCATTTTGAAACGGGCCTAAGAAATAAAAAAAACAAAAAATTGGAAAACCTTCACAGTGTCATTACATGTGACCAAGTTACCAGGAAAAATAATAAATTTGTAATACGACAATTCTTTTCAAAAAGTGTTCTTAGAAATGAGCTATCATGTGTGAAGATTCATGGCTTTCAAGCCAAATGATCGATCTTATGGCCACATTCATGGCATAGCTTGTTCAAATGATCTCATATTATTCAAAAGTCTGCATCTTGGAATGGCAAACAATGTTGCCTAAGGGAGTTTTCATTTTCTTTGCACGGAAAATTCATTTTCCATTTTTGAGTGCCCGAAATGAGTTTTTTGTGAAGGACCTACCATATATTTGTTGCAAAATTTGACCAAATCAATTTTATAAAATACTAGGCCATATTTAATTCACAATTGACCAAATGGTTGGGTGTCAAAAGCTTTGATCCACCTCAGGTGAAAAAGAGAAATTTCCCCCGATTCAGTTGGAAGCGGGTCAAATTTGAACTGCAGTTGCCTCATAGTTTGCTCTTTATTTTTTCCAAAAATTATTTCTAGGTACATAAGTATATATTTAATCATAGAAACACCAAAAAATTCCAAGATTCAACCACTAGCTACGAACGGTCATGCCCGCCGTTTTGACCGCATTTTGAAACGGGCATAAAATTCAAAAAATTCAAAAAAATGGAAAACCTTTGTCGGGGAGGCTGATCCACGGACACCTATGGGGACAGGGCCCCTTTTGGTTCGGAGGGAGGCGGAGGTCGCACAAAGAGTGGATCGAGGCGGTACACGCGAGCGGTTTTACCCAGCTTCGGGCCGCACGGATGCGTAAAACCCTACTGCTGCTTGTTTGTGTGTATTGAATCCTTGCTCAGGAGCGATGGACGCTATCAGACTGAGCGTGGGAGTGTTTCTGGTGTTTCGAATGAGCCGAAGCGGCCGAACCTCCTCTACGTTGCGCTTGGGCCTCCTTTTATACTCTCAAGGGGTCACCGATAGGTGGCAACGTAAACTAGAAGGATAAAAATGGAAAAGGATGCGGTAGGTGCAGCTACCGCTACTGTGGATACAGTGCACCCTACCTAACTCTGACGGCAGGGGACAAGGGCATTAAATGCCTGTCTGAGTCTCCTAAACAGTGCAAAAGGTGACCGTTAGGAGCGCCACCGTTTGCCACGATGGCCTTCTCTTCATCTCCGCTTGCCACCACGTACCCCTAGCTGCATGGCCTCCTGCCACGTGTGCTTGGCAGAGTCCTAGAGCGACAGGTTAGCAGGTGTGCTAGAGCGCGGGCACGAAGTGGGGGTTTCCCGCGGCAAGCTCCTTGCCGCGGTCGTCATCTTGTCGCATCCGGAAGCTTGTCGCTCGCCGGATCTTGCCGGGACGCAGGGCGCGTCGTGGCAAGCTTTCTTGGTATGCCTTGAGTGGACTTCCCGGCAAGCTCCTCTTGCCGGGGTCTTGTCTCTTCCCGGCAAGATCCTCTTGCCGGGGCCTTGGTTGGCCTTCCCGACAAGCTCCTCTTGCCAGGGCCTTGGTTGGCCTTCTCGAGAAGCTCCTCTTGCCGGGGCCTTGGTTGGCCTTCCCGGCAAGCTCCTGTTGCCGGGGCCTTGGTTTGAGTACTTTGTTCTTCAATGGTCTTCAAGGGAACCACGGAGGGTCTTGGAGGTCACCCGGCAAGCCTTGCCGCGGGGCGCTGCAACTGTCCGTGCACGAGTTCAGGATACTAGGGTACCCCTACTCTAGTACACCGACAGGAGCCCCCGGGCCTGGGCCATACACGGTGCCGAGCGCTGTTGGGCCAGGCCCAAAACAATGCACGGGCACGCGCGGCCTAGGCCACACCGCATATCTCTCCGCTCCACCGCGCACGCCCAGAATGGCACGCGTCAAACGCGGCGTCATGGGTGACGCGGGCGGCGTGCGCGGGGCTAAGCCTCTCGAGCATGCGTCAGGCCACGATGGTGAGGACGGTTCACGCCCTCCTCCCTAAACGGAGGTAGGCCTGGGGGCGCGGTGCATTTACTGGACGGGGCCGGTGCGCGGTTTTCGGGACGTCCACTTCCCACGTTCACGGGGCGGAGCGAGGCCGCCTCATCTGTCGCCTTGGTTCTGCATCCCCGCCACGTGGCTCCCATGCGCTTGGGGTCACGGACGGTGGGAGTGGGAAACTGGGCCGTCGCGAGCAGAGGCAGCGGGTTGGCCCCGACTCCCTGCTCTTCCCGTGCCTTGATTCGCTGAGCGGGGCGGCCGAGCCCCCACCTCGCTCCTTTATAAAGAGCGGGAGGGGAGCACAGAAACCCGCACTCTCTCATCTCCTCCTTTCTTCAGCTTCTGCTCCCCTTTCTCTCATCCGCCATGGAGAAAGGGAACCTAGGCCCTTCGTCGGTGGCGGCGAGGGTCGCCACCAGGCAGCGCATCTCTCCCTCTTCCGCGCCCGTGGTGGCAGAGCCAGCCATAAGGGGAAGAGGGAGGGGGCGAGGTCGCGGACGAGGTCGAGGACGAGGTCGAGGACGAGGTCGAGGCGCTCGGGGAAGAGGCGGGCGGGGCGGGGTGCCAGCTTCACCTCCGCTGGCGGCTCCTCCCCCCACGGCGGTCCATATAGGGGACAACCCTTGCGAGTTCTTCGTCAAGCTGCGCCGGGCGCCTCGTCGTCGCCTCCGGCTTCCAGCTCCGTTTGCGAGCGCGATGGAGTTGGACCCGCCCGAGACGCTGAGACTGCACATGAGGGGCTGTGGGATCAGCGGCACGCGAGTCCGCGTTGTATTCCCAGCCCCTAATGTGATGTATCTTGATCGAGGGTGGAAGACGTTCGCCCGTATCCACAGCCTGATGGAGGGGTTCACCCTCCATTTTAAGTTGATGGAGGGCGATCTCCTCTCCGTCAAGGTCTTCGGGTGCTTCGGCACTCGGGCGAAGTGCTGCGTGGACAGCTCCTCCGATAGCGAAGGCTCCTCCTCGAGCGAGAGTGACGAGGAGGAGAGCGACAGTGACGACGAGGGTAGCGGGCGGCGGGGTGGCGGGTCCGACTAGGTGTCGGGCGCCGCTTCGCGCGGCACCGGCGACCCCATCATCCGTGTCGCCGCCTTCTTGAACTCCCCGGGGTCGTCTCCTTAGGCGGCTGGCGTAGGGAGGCTGCGGAAGGGGAAGAGGGCTGGCGACAAGGCCGTCAGGTCGGAGTACGAGGGCGTGGTGCCCTCGACAGCGTGATGACGTCCTGCCGCTCCGTCTTCGAGCCCCACTTCCAGCGCCGCCATCGTCGTCCAGCCTTCGGACGGCCCCCGGGATGTTCTCTTGGTGCCTTCTGGCACCCGTAGCTCGCCTAGGTGCTCCTTTTGCCCTTTTCGCCTCCTTGACCTGCCTCCTGAAGAGAAGGACAGGAAAGGGATTACGGGCATCTTATCTTTTTAATTTGTAAGCCTTCGGGCCTTAGCTGTATCTAAAACTTGTAATCCTCTCTTTCATGTTTTTCATCCTCTATGGACTGTACCTGAGTGGGATGTTTTTTTAATGAAAAGGGGACGCTTGCCGGGTTATTTGTCTCGCGAGTTGAACTCACGCCAAGGAGAAAATCCTTTGTATCCCTCGGACAGACATTTCATCTCCCGGCAACAGGCCCTGCCGCCTTCCCACGTCGCTCGACCTTTCCCACGCTTTTGACGGAGGCAGGAACGAGGTGGGTGCGGTCTCCTCGTTTCATCCCTTTGCTGCCGCGACTATGACCAAACTTGGCCCCGAGAACGAGCCCCAGGGCCTAGAGTTGAGGGAGCACGGCAGTTTTCGGGAAGAAACGTGGTTTCACATTCCCCAGTCCATAAGAGGATGCATGATGAGGGATGAAAGACTTATCTGATATTGCAGCCCCCGGCAAATCTGGCTTGCCGTGGACGATTCTTGGCACTCGCAGCCCCCAGCGATACTGGCTTGCCGGGAAGGCTTTTATCTCCAGCAGAGAACTTTGACGTTCTCGATGCTGGCTTCCGGCAAGCTTGTTGCCGAGA